ATAGCAAAACAGAGTCCATATTCCATGATGAGAAGACAATCATGCAGATTGAAATCATCCAGTTCCATGGGATGTATGTTTCAGTCAAGCACACATTCTAGGTTTCATGTGAAAGCTGATAGGTAAAATGCAGTGTTCTTTGCCAGGATTAAAACAGATATCATGCCCCTCCTGAGTTTTGAGTTTAACCATAAATCAAGCCTCTCCACAGTATTTCAAGCTGGGAAATAGACTTGGGTAGACGTTGTGTCTGCTTATTGTGAGGGTAGCAAAGAGTTTATTTTAAAGTTATATCATGCTCTTCCATTATATTTTTTTTCCAATATATCTTGGCAGACAAGAAAAAGATTTTTTCCTGAAAATATCTAAATACATATGTACAGTTATTCACAGGAGGGAAAAAAAAAGAGTTGGAGGAAAAAAGGTTTTCATAGGAGGTATTTCTGACTTCCTAGAGAGAGCTATGAAACACTGTGCAGGGTGTTGAGAGATGACTTGAGTACATCTTTCCTTTTAAAGCAGAGCATTGGTACAGTGTCTACATGCTGGCACAGTTTCAGGAAGGAAGGTGAGGCTCCTTTGAAGTTACAACATGCATATGAAAATCACCAAATATTATATGATGGGGAAACTGGAAATCTTTTGATACACATAAGACCTAAATAAGTGCTTGTGTGCCTGAAACCTTATCTTATTTTCCAGCAGCACTGGATTATAATATATTACCTTATAGCAATGTATAGTATATGGTTGTATAAAGTAATAATTATATTACAGCTAGTATTACATATATAATATTTTTAATAGGAAATTGATCAGTTCTAGAAGGTAGTGTCTTCTCACAGTCACGCTACTCCTAAGCATGCGTTCTGTAGGTATTAGAGCTCAAAAAAAGAGGAGTTAAAATGTGCGATATCTTGCAATGATCAAAGATCAAATCCCAGTGTGAGAAAACTAGAATTGTTTCAGATGTGTTTTAGGTGAAAGTGTCCTTGCCTGCCTTTTTAGTTTAGTTTTGGCTTTTCTTTCATAACCCAACTGTTCTCCCTGGTTATAAAATGTCAAGGTCAAAGAGAGGTGAAGCTGAATGGTGCTGGGAATCTGAGATGCAAATCAGTTGCAGATAATCCCTGGATGCTGGAAGACCATCCGGCTTCACAGAGCCATTAGCATTCAGGGACGCTCATTAGCACTCAGGCATCCAGTCAGTGTGCATTAGCAAAATGAGATGTGTTGATTAAAGCTACAAATTATGTGTTGAATGCAGAGACTTTAAACCATAGTGGCTTCATGTTCATAAGATTGTAGTTCCGTGCTTACACATTTTAAAAAATCTAGAGAGACTGTAATCTTCAGTGCTTGTTTTGTGTATGTGGGTTTATTTGCACATATTTGTGAGTATGGGGGGGTGAAAGAAGTGAAGTGTACATGGAAAGAAAGGTGAGAAGTTAAAAATTTAAATATTTGATAGTTGTTCTTAATATTTGGAAAACTTACAGTTAGGATAGTTAAAAAAACAGCAAAACGGTCTGGCCTATACAGAAAAGGATAATCAGCATGTATTATCTGGTAATTTCAGAGCCTTAAGTGAGATCTAGCTAAAACTAGAGGATTACGTGAAAAGCAATACCATCTTAGTTTAATGTCTGTATTAATATTCAGTCTTCTTACCACGAGTCATGCTTATATTACACAAGGCTATCTTGAATAAACACAATAAACAAGGGTACTGTCCTTAATGTTATGCTGTCAGCATTTTGGATAGTATTAGTGGAATGTATCTTTATTGTGCAAGGTGTGTAGTTGCAGATACATTTGAATAGTTATCTTAAGCAAACATAGCATACCACTCTAGTTTCTAACGATGTCATCCTTCAGAACTGCCAAGATAAGTTGCATCACGTTGGGAGTTTCATCAGATACGCAGTTTCATCCTGAAATACAGAATTTTCTTCTAGGTACCTTCAGCTAATCCTTGTTCCTAACTGCTGTGTAGAAAACAGCAGTGCAGAGCCTCAGCAGCCAGGCAGGTAGGACATCTGAGTCTTTGCTGGGAGTCCTCACAGCCTGAACTGAGTGGCAGGCAGGCTGCTGCTCCAGTCCTAATGCTTGTTCTTACCCTCTTTGTGCCTTTGGTGATGGGTCTGGGAAGGCTGGTAGTTATGCAGATGACTGTTAGGCTGTGCAAGGCTGTCATGAGGAAAGGCATTTATTTACAGGACTAATTAGAAAGTGGGTTTTTTGATGTCCTTCTCGGATAACTGTCTCTAATATCTGCTGCTGACAAGGCTCATGGGAGGGGTAATGATTCTGAGAATGACTCAGCAGAGGATTTCTTACTTTCTTCTAGTCTGAAATACATACTTGATTAGGTACAGTACACCTAGACTTCATTTTTAGGAAGAAAAGGGTCTGTCAGTGTTACTTAAAATGAAGGTCTTTGGGGAGAGCTTTGCTATGTCAGTTCTGCTGGGTAGCACTACAGGGCAGTACTGGCTGTGAGTGCTGCTTCACATCCCTGCACAGTTCCCTGGCTTTGCCAGTTTTGATTCTTTGACCTCTTCCTGTATTTTGCTTGTTAAACTCTGGGAATACAGGCAGCATTCACATTTTGCAGTTATGTGATGATTCCTCCTTGAAGTAGACTTTTATCTCCTATGTTTTGAATAACACAATCTGTATACTACTTGATACTTTGTTTTTGCATCCTTAACTTTAAATTGCACCTGTCTTGGTGGGTTGTTTTTTGCCAGTTGCACCTGCATTATTGAACTCCAGATTTTGTGCTTTAGAGAGGAGGATGCCTGTTTCAAACTGGCTTATTCCTGGGGTAGTCCAATGAGGATACCTGCCAACGAAGGATGGGAAGAACACAGAGTTAAAAGAACAGAAAACGTAGAGCAAGCCTAATATATTTTAATTGGTCCTTCTGAGCTGAAGGTTACACCTGTACCATGATATTTAATGGCTGTCGATAGATTACTTTCTTATTTTGTGTCATTTGATTTTTAGACCTATTTTGGGCTCCGTGACATCTTGTGACACTGAGTTTCACAATAGAATTCATACTGATCACATTATATTAAAACAAAGAAACCCATCCAAAAACCCCACTCAACTCTTCTTTCTGCTTTGAATCTTTTCTTCTGGTTCTACATAGGTTGGTCCAAAAGTAATGCCTCCTATTTATTTCCATAGAAGTCACAACAGATGGAAAGAGCACAATGACACTATTTGATAGAACAAATTCTCAGCTACAAAACACTGTTTTTCAACATATGCACAGCTAATGGTGGTGACTCTTTGATAGTGATGAACATACCATGCTCATAGAAAATATGCACCACTGGAGGTGACCTGCTGTTGCCACTGCCTCACTGTGCTCACATCCACTGCTCGGTTTCCATAAACACTCAGCAAGCATTGATGAATGTCAGTGAGTGAGATTTTTTTTTCTGCATGGAGGAATTCAGTGACACACCTTTGCTTCGGAAATGCTTCCATGTCAGATGCCATTCTGTGAGACTGCCCTGCTGCCATCTGTTGTGTGGCAACAAAATGTAATGAAATATTGGTGGGAAGGTTGAGCCCCTGCTGCTGTATCACAGATATCTGCCTCTGAGGTGGGGCAACAAAATGAAGTAGGAGGTATTACTTTCTGAGCAGCCCTCATACCTTAAGCAGTAGTCAGCTTTTGTTTTTTAGTTGTTTCTAAACATGAGGGATGGCTATGACTCCTTCAGAAGAAATCATAGCTTGCTCTGTCAAACAATGACTATGTTCAAAATCATTAACACCAAAACTTGTTTTGAATGAAATTCTTTACAGAGAGTGGTTTCCTTTCAGCAGCAGGACCCCTCGGATATTTTCAGCTAGTTAGTGACAGAACTGATGAATCACGCTCTTATGAAGTTAAAACCTGTGTGTGAAGAGTTCCTTTCTGTACTGTGGAGTCAAAAAACAGTCAAAAAAAAAACAAACCAAACCTGAAAACTTGATCACTGACATTTTAGGCTCATTTGAGATCTTTGAACTTTGATTTCTGTTTTCATAGTCATTGGGAGAAGCTTTGTAATAGCTTTATTTCTCATTCATTTGGGAATAATTACAAAGATGCATTATGATGAGCCTATTAAGTTAAAAATGCTTATTTCTAATCAAATTGCTATTTTTCTGCTTTTTCCAGGCGGCAAAAGACTTTATTTCCAGAATAAATCTACACACAAAATTAGCGATGGGCATTTTTCTGTAATATTTCAGGCTAAATAGTCATCTGACTTTTCTTTGGTAGCAGAAATGCATGCTTGTAACCGAAGTAAGCAAAGTTGTGAATTTTCAGCATATTTACAAAATGTATTTTCTTCTACCCAAGCAGGATTCAGATAGTTTTCCAGGGTGTGTCAGTTTCAATGCAATGTTCTGCAGTGAGGAAATGTCATGTTTCAAGTGAATGCCATTTGCTTCCCATCTCTGTAGGAAGAGCTCTGCCACTGATGCAGGCAGAGTATAGGTAGGCCCTGTTGTGATAGCCATGATGCTTCTGGTTGGAGCAGGATTTTTGATGTCTGAAAATAAATAAAATGGTCTTAATGTAAGTTTGCTTTCTGGAACTTTTGAAATCATTTGGGAAATAAAGCACATAAGGAATTTGTATCTCTCTTGGTCACTTTTTATAACATTTCAAATATAAGGAAACATTTAACAGCAAAAAAAAAAAAAATCATAAAGGTCACAAATGCTTTCATACTTGGAGTTCTGAGAGGTATATTTAAGCCTCGGCAGACTTTTAACCTTTTCTAGCTTACAATAAGTTTGCCATCCTTTTAGAACCCTTTGATTGTATGGCTTTTGTTCTCTTGAAAGGGGGACAGGGCTGCCTGGTTACTCAAGCAGATGCCAGGCTTCTGATTAGCATTTGATGAAAGCCACTTGTGAAAGCAGAATCAATGCTCAGATTTACAAACAGTAAACGTGGGTATTGGCTTGTCATTTCTTCCTAGGTTGTTGTCCTATAAAGCTGTTCAAGTTCCTCTCTTCGTGAGAACATCTTCGTGCTATCCCTGCTGCATACAAGCATTATGTTAGATCGAGAAGAAGGGTGAGTAATTCTTTTTAGCTCCATTATCTAGACTTTTTTTTCATTTCATAGGAGGAAAAAAGAATGAAAATGCAACCATCTAGAATAACACATTATAAGTTGATAAACCATAATAACCAAACTGTGTGTCTGAAGGGGCCTCATTACAGAACAGTGGAGGCACAAGGGGGAGCTTATTGTGGGCAACAAAATAGTGCTCTAATAATGCTGTCACTGTACTGAGTACAGCATCAAACATTAATCCATGTGGTTATATCCAGGTAGAAAAAGGAACATACTCTGTTTTAAAAAAAAAAAACAAAAAAACAACACAACAACAACAACAGAAATGAGTCTGAAAGGGTTACATAGCAAATCAAAGCTAGCAGGGAGGGAGAAATTATTTTGAATGGGGTTAACTGAAGGCAAAATGGTAGCACCTCTACGGTAAGTTTTTTTTACTAGTCTGTGTAAACTCCCACTGCCTGCTGTATAAGGAGTGTGTATGTGTGTTGAGGAATAGATAAAGGAGAACTAGAAAAGATGGATGTTTGAGGCAGTATCTATTATATGATGAGGTCAGCTTTTGCAGTTTATACCAAGACAAGTGCACAGAAAGAAGAGCTGTGGGAGCATCTTTTCTTGTATTAAAGACTGGGCTTTTCAGTTTAGACAAGGACTGTAGTAATAGTATTTTATGCATGAGGCATCATGACACAAAATGCAGGATCAGTAATATCAACTAATAAAAGGATTACCAATAAAAGTAGAGGTGTTGCCATTACCCATCAGTTTAACTTGGTTTGGCTTGGTGTCCTACCTCAACAGCCATGCTCAGGAAAGCCCTGTTTACTGTGGTAATACACAGCCATTCTGACAGAGAAGCTGGAAGTTTCATGTGTACCAGACAAACCAGTGCAGAAGGTCAGATAGGAAACTTGCCCAGAAGTGATTGGGCTGAATATAAATCTCAAGATGCTCAAAAGCTCATTGCTTTGTCTCACTATTTCTAAACTGTATTGTGTGGGACGATGTCCAGACTAATGAGCTAGATCTAAATGAACTGTTGCAAATGTTGGTATTACTGCAAGTAATGCTGTAGGTGGTAAAGCACCTCTAACATGGTTTTCCTCCTATGATACAGTTGCTCTGCTCCGTAAAGATAAATCAGCTTTAGCAGATTTGAAGCATAATAACATCACGCAACTTCTTCCAGCATCTGAGCATTTTTGTCTATTGCCAGTTTTGATATCTCTCAATGTAATTCTATTTTTTCTAATTCTAGGCAGTTACATGTGTAGCAAGTATTAACAGATTCACAGATCGTGACTTGTTAACTTTTATTCTTAGTTTTATTTATCAAATTCACACGTCCATCAAATATTCCGAAACATTTTTGAAATGTAATACTCAGGGATTACCTTTATAACAGAACTATTTGTTCACTTACAAAGTGCTATCAATGTTGTTATATTTTTAATGCAAATATTTAATGCATCTATTTCATCAGAATCTTAGTTTCCCATTTTTAGTAAAAGATTACTGTTGTAACATCAGACTGCTTTCCATTTTTAAAAAAACTATCCTAATTTAGTGCTTGCTTCTCACTTAGTATACATTTAGTACTGTTTAGATATCCATAGATATCTAGCATATCCATAGATATCCATGCAAACTACAGGCTTAAAGACTGCAGTTATTTGCACATAACTGCACTGTTTTACACATATGTAAATGAGAAGTGCAAAATGAGAGGTGAGGTTGTTACTTTGACTCATGGATGCCTGGCTTTTAGTGCACAAGTACACTTTTAGTCCAACAGGAATCAGACTGTGAGTTTGGGCTTAATCACGTGGAACTTCATGATTTGTGTAAACTAGAAAGTTTTCAGCCTGAAATTAAGTATTGTATTTATATCCATTTCAGTGTGGGAGTATGTGGCCTACTGTAATGAGGGGCAACTGAGATATATAGTGAGAATTGTCTTGATGTGTGGAAAGTTAATTGTTTGTGTGTGAATATAAGTAGTTGTAGTTATAGTGAACCCTCTTCACTTAAGCTGTTACGTTTTTGTTCTCCAATGAGTTCTGAATTTACTGATGCTTGTTTATTTGAGGATTAGAGCAACCCTTGACTAAATTATTTATACCTGCTGATTATTTTTTTAAAAGTTGTTTGTGGTCTTGAATATTTCGTATTGAGGACCAATGTTTGAAACAGTGTCAGATTAGTGCCAGTAACAGGTAAATAAATAAGGAGACACTTTAATGCAGATATATGATCAGGAGGCAGGGACAGTTAAGTGCTATTCTAGGCAGCCAGCTATCTGACAGTACTGCAGCTATACCTCTCTATTCCCTTTTTTTGCTGTCTTCCACTTGCACCAAGTAGCTGAACTTTCTATTCACTTAACATGTTTCCCTGTTCTCTTCCTTTCCTGTCACTGAATCACAACTAAATAATTCTTAATTGCCTTCTGAAAGTAAGTTGTTTTTTCTTGTTTCTGTCTTGCATATTCCTTCTATCTCTTCCAGCCTGTATCGTCCCTATTTTATGCATTTCTTTGCATGTGCCTCTTACCTGACAGCTCCTTTGTAACTTGATTCATACAGGCCTACTGTTGAAAATAGATGTTTCACTTTGCCACTGTTCACCTTACTTTATCTTCAAATCTGTCATTCAGTGCATTTCTATTACCTTACTTCCCTTCTCTGTCTGTGCCCTGGTGCTGTCCAGTTCTTGGTGGTGTGTGAGCACCAGAAAGCAAAAGAAACACGTACCTACAGCGCAAAAAGAGAAAAATGGAAGACATAACAGAACCTTGAAAACAAAAATTCTTCAAGAGCAGCCTTTATGCTCCCTGCTGATTGCATCAGGAATTGTCATTTGTTCATTATTATCTTACTAAGATTCCAGACCTTCAGATCACCGACCTTTCTGACTTCTCTGTAACTTGCAGTCTTTTTCCAGTACACTGAAAACTAACAGACTTGTTTTGTTGGGAGCTCAGTTGTTTGTCTGTCTATTCAGAGAGTAAGAGTTCATTTTCTGTGATCTCTTTTGTGCTTCAGATGGAACAGATGGCTCAGCAAAGTAAACATCTGTATGTGAACTGTAAAGTGTTCATATGTTATTTTGTACCAGTGTAAAGTGAGACCCAGTCATCAATACTAATCAACAAACTATTTCTGTAAGAAGACTAGGAAATTTTTGATTTAACACATAAATCAAGAAGAAAGTTGCTGACAACTAACTTAAGAAGAAATTGCTGGCTATTTCTGAGGCATCAGTAACATACTTGGCCCAATATCATACAAAATCTAGCTATAAACATCTCTGTTCCCACGGAGTTTTTTGTATAATCCTTTTGTGATAAGCATTCCTGTAAGCTAAGGCAAAGAGAGATTCAAGGGCACTGTTGGTTACCTGTTGATGATTTGTTGTCCTTGCCTCTGCTATCTTGCATGAAAATTACAGTAAACTATGTGCTAATAGTTGCATTCTTTTGATATCTGTGTGGTCATGACTGACCTAGAATTTCTGTTTTGCTCTGTATTTGAGCTATGCCTTCTCTATTTCTACTTCTTTAAGTTGGAAAGAGACTCATAAAGTTAATTGAGTTCAACTCCTGTCTGTAAGGACAGGACAACTCGAAAGTCAAACCATATTTCTGAGAGCATTGCCCAAATACTTGAACTGTCAGCTTGGTCTTATGCCTCCTGCCCTGGGGAGCCTGTTCTGAAATGCCTCTGAAAAATCATTTCCTGATGCCCAACCTTGACACTTCCCTGACACAGCTCCATGCTACTATTTGGATGATGTTGTGGAAGTTATTTTCTTGTTCTAGGCATGCTGGCAAGAACTGAAGTTCTGTTTTTTCTTTTTCCATCTTTTACTGTAAATGTAACTTGAGCTTCTATTCCCTTATCACGGAAATACTAGATGACAATCTGCAAGCCTTCAAGTCTCTCTCTACCTCTCTGTTGTTTGATTTAACAGTTGTAGATGAACATGTTAATCAAAAAGGCTAGCAGTGAAAGTACTGTAACTTTTGTAACCTTGCTTTTTGGACTTCTAAGGTAAAACCGTGTTGTAATAGGTAGGGCAGTTAAAATTTCTCCAAACTTGTTTTGGTTTTAGAGTCTGAAATTCTTATTCTACTAAAATTAACAGTGAGATCCCAAGTGATACTGATGGAGCTATAGGAATGTGCTCAGTGAGCAGTTTTAAGCACAGTTATATTTAAATGGAGCCTCCAGCACAGGAAATTTTTATGTGCTTGTTTAATGATAAATATATGTGTATTCTGAGCTGAATTTAAATGGAAGCATAACTTGTTTATTTCTTTTCGAGGCCAAGTTTTGTACTGAGACTGAATTTAGAAGTGGCTTTCATTGCAGACTATTCCTGCTTTTAATGTCAGCTGAGTCTGGTGGAGTTTTTCCAATGATAATGGATCTGTGGACTAAGATACTAAGATTTTTGTAACTTGGAGAATCTCAAGAGTTTTCTCTGCAAATAGGGTTCTTTTTAGTGGTGCCTTTTGTTGCTAACAACAGCTTTTTCCTGTTGTTAAACAACTTTTCTTTGTCCTGTTGCAGGATCTACAGTGGTGTTAACACTAATAAATCAGTCTTGACTTTCTTTATTGAATAAAAAAAAACAAATAAGAGCTGTTAAACAACCTTAGATGAATACATAATATCAGAGCACCAAATTTCTGTTGCTGAAATTTCAATGCTTTAGTCCTCTTCTATTTGCCTTGAACTCACTTTGTGCTTTGTCTGATTGCATTGCTTGTAGGACATACAGCTGCAGTGTTAGGAAGCACTTAAGTTCCAGAAAGTATAAGTATCACAAAGGGTTCCTGTTTCATTTGATACTCCTTCCCAGCTATCAAAAATAAGAGTAAAGAATGCAAGAAGAAAAATAATAATAATAATAATAAAGTAACATTTTTATAGGTGCAGTTCTGTGGGACAAATCAATATTCATCATACCTTTGCTTGAGATTGGAATGA